TCCACCTCAGGAGGGCATCTCAAAAGGTCAGTAGAGGCTGCTTTCCAAGGTGACTGCTGTGGTCTTAACCCCATGGTTCCCATCTGCTTTGAAGGACAAAGCAAGGTCTACATGGAATCACAGGATAAGAGCTGATCGAAGAGTGTCGGCTCAGAGATGGATTCCTGCGGCTAAAAACAATTAGCCCAAGGGACAGTTCCTGCTTGACTTCTGATGACCTGTCTCTATCTGCAATAACTTGATAAAGAAATATGGAGCCACTACATCTCTGTTTAACCCTTCAGTTAAGTGATAGCTTTATCTTAGAACTTAGAAGTTTGTCCTTGAAAGTTTTTGTAACCAGAGTTAGTTAAGGAATCTATAGAAGCCCTTTAAAATATTTGTAACCCAAAACGAATTACCTGTTATTGTGTAAGTCTGTTACCCCTGGCAACCAATCTCTGTACCTATAAATACCCATGTGAAACTTTATTCCGGGCCCTATGATTAACGGGATATTGTAGGGACCCTTGAGTACCCCTGCTTTTTTATCTTTATAAATCTAGAAAACTATATCTTCGTCTCTGTGTATTCTTTTATTTCAATTATTCTGCATTTTCTATTATTTTCTTATCCTTTGCGATGACCCCTACCTAAAGGACCTGATTTTTTGCGGGGAGCATGGCTAAACTCCCGCAGGTATCATAAATCAATAAGAAAGGAATAGTGTTATTGACACCACAAAAATCAGATAACTTCGCTCAACAGTGGGAAATGAAGTGAAAGCATCATCTTGAACCATATACAACAATAAATTCCCTCAAGACTAGAAAGTTTATTTCTTTTTCAATACTCTGATGGAAGAAAAAGATCAAACGCAGGTCATTTCTATGTAGAACACAGGCTTCTCATCTTGCTATATGAAGTATTTATAAATCACAACTATTTAATACAGGATGACAAGACAAAAAAACCTTAAAGTGTTAGGAGTTGCAGAGATTACATCAGAATGAAGATTAAAGAAACTGAAGATTACTAAACTTACAAAACTTGACTATAACATATCATAAGCATACTTACCATATTAAGCAGATATAAATGGAGCTGCTTACCTTCACATATTCCAGTGTTAACAGATCTTCCATTGTGTTATCCAGTGTTGTGACCAAATAAACGGGTTTCTTGTTTTCATCTAAAAATAATTTTTAAAAATTATCTTTTCATAGGACAACTAACTGAAAATAAATGCAAGCAATATTAGTAATTATATAATTGGAAACAAAGGCTTTTTTAAATCAGTTCTGGACCTTGGATTCTACCTTACCAAGGTCAAGTCCCTTTTTGATTTTTTAAACTCTAAAAATGTAATTTCTCCTTACAATTTCCTTCCCTTCTCTTGTGCCGCACAACACTGAAATCTTCTATCTTTCTAAACCCAGATGGTAGGTAAGGTTAAAAAAAAAAAAAACAAGCAATCAATTAAAGATAAAACAGAACGGCTTTTAGGAACCACGATAAAAGGGCAGAAAGAAAATTCTGGCCCTGGATCACAGAAGATAAAAACAAAAACAAAACAAAACAAAAATCAGAGTCCTTGAAAACCCAGTTGTTCAGAAAACAGATCAGGAATGTGATGAGACATTAAGTTTTTCTGTATATTAGGTTAGATTAAATTAGATTAAAATAAACCTATTACCATATAATTCTGATCAAAACCTGTTGTACTAGAGAAACTGGTGTCAAAAAGATTTTTACAGCAAACTTTTAAAAGTATCATCACCAAATTACTTACAGCTGCTGGAAATTAACATCTGAGACTGGAAGGACTACAAACTAATCATACAATTCTTGAGGGGAAAAAAAGCCACAAATTCCATGAAGTCCTACAAACTTAAATGCTTATTAGCACATGAACCAGCTTTATATTGATGGTGTTAACATTTCAACCCTTAAGAAGGTCCCCACTTTGTTTACACATTTATTCATTCACTGAACAACTATTATACTGATCATTTATTTTGCTCAAGAAACTGTGTAATTCATTCCCTCTGAGAAAACAAAAGTAAAGATATCAGAAATAGGTGTAGTAAAAACTGTACGCCCTGTATTGTTTTGAAAGGCTTGTTTTCTTCTTTGCTCTTAAGAAAACAAATAAAAAATAAGAATAAATGTAAAAATTAGGCCAAGCATAGTGGCTCATGCCCAGTGCTTTGAGAGGCCAAGGTGGGACGATCACTTGAGGCCAGGAGTTCGAGACCAGCCTTGAACATAAAGATCCTGTCTCTACAAAAATAAAAAATAAAAAAATTAACCAGGCATGGTGGTGTGCACCTGTAGTCCCAGCTACTTGGAGGTTTAAGCAGGAGGATCCCTTAAGCCCAGGAGTTTGAGGCTACAGTGAGCTATGATCACAGAACTGCACTTTAGCCTGGGCAACAGAGTGAGACACCATCTCTTAAAACAAAAAAAAGTAAAAATGGACAACTGCTATAATACTTCAAGATTATTAGAGAACACTGTCAAGTTGGTTTACTTTTCTTTACAATTACCAGAGCAAATTATTTCTTGATGTAAAAAGCATAATAAAACAAAACTCTGTATCTACTACATATGACAGTACATAGTATGGCAAGTATGGCAAGAGATAACCGTAACACAATCTACCGCACTCAAGTTCCGAAGGGCTATGGAACAAGTGTAGAATACAAGAAAAAAATGTATAAATCATATTCTCTGACCAAGTCTTAAGCCACAGTTCTTAATTTACACCCCAATTTATTTTATTTTTTTTAGAGACAGAGTCTTGCGCTGTCATCCAGGCTGGAATACAGTGGTGTGATGACATCTCACTACAACCTCGAATTCCCAGGCTCAAGTGATTCTCCCAACTCAGCCTCCCAAGTAGCTTGGACTACAAGAGCATGCCCCATGCCCAGCTATTTTTTACAAATTTTTTTGTAGAGATAGGGTCTCACTATGTTGCCCAGGTTGGTCTTGAACTCCTGGCCTTAAGCAATCCTCTGCCTCAGGCTTCTAAAGCACTGACATTACAGGCATGAGCCACCTTGCCCACTTTGCCCACCTTGCTCCCCATTTTAAAAATGACATCTCACCAAAGAAGATATACAGATGGCAAATAAACATATAAAAAAAATGCCTCACATCATACGTCACCAGAGAAATGCAAATTGCCACTTCATACCTATCCAAATAGCCAAAATCCAGAACACTGACAACTGGAAAGGATACAGAGCCAATAGGCACTCTCTTTCATTGCCAGTAGAAATGCAAAATGGTACAGCTACCTAGGAAGACAGTTTGGCAATTCCTTACAAAACTGAATTTACTCTAACCATATGATCCAGCAATCATACCCCTTGGTATTTACCCAAAGAAATTGAAAACTTATGTCTACACAAAAACCTGTACGTGGATGTTTGTAACAGCTTTATTTATAATTGTCAAAACTTGAAGCAATCAAGATATCCTTTGATAGGTGAATAGATAAATAAACCGTGATACATCCAGACAATGGAATATTATTCATTGCTAAAAAGAAATGTGCTATCGAGCCACGAAAAGACAAGGTGGTAACTTAAACACATATTACTAAGTGAAAGAAATCAATCTGAAAAGGATAAATATTATATGATTCCAACTATATAACATGCTAGAAAAGGCAAAACTATGGAGACACTAAAAAGATCAGTCGTAGTTGCCAGGGGTTAGGGAGGAGGGAGGATGAACAGGTGCAGCACAGAGGATTTTTTTAGGGCAGTGAAACTACTCTGTATGATAATATAATGGTGCATACATGTCACCATACATTTGTCCAAACACACAGAATGTGTAACACCAATAGTGAATCCTAATGTAAACTATCAGATTTGGGGTGATAATGATGTATCAATGTAGGTTCATCAATTGTAATAAATGTACCACCCTAGTGGGGGTGCTGATCATGGGGGAAACTATACATACGAGGGTGCAAGGAATATATGGGAAATCTCTGTACTTTCTGCTTAATTGTGCTGTGAATCTAAAACTGTTCTAAAAAACAAAGTCTATTTAAAAATTTTTTTAATGTCATCTCTCCTCACACATAATATTATTTTGCTAAAACATTTAATGAAATTAAACTATTGATTAGTTGTCTAAATCATTCCCTCTACCATTCACAATTATCTTTCAAGGAAAAATCCAAAAAATGTAAAAGAAGAAATATAAATAGTATCCTCCCTAAATGCCCAACATAGAAAACAGTATTTCCTTAGGGATCACATCCATTATGATTCTGAAACATAAAGGATTTGTGGTAAGTAGAACACTATCCTCTAGCTCCAACAAAGAGGTCTACACACTAATCCCCTGGAACCTGAATATATTACCTAGTATGGCAAATGGGACTTTGAAGATCTGATTAAGGTTAAGGTTAAAGGGAAAGTATCCTGAATTATCAAGTGTGGTCCAATCTAATAACTATTAAAAGTGGAAGCAAAATGCAGAAGAGGAAGTTATAGAGATGGCAGTATGAGGAGGATCTGACGCCCTGTGCTGGTTTTGAGATGGAGGGGCTATATGCAAGGACCAAAAGAGGTTTCAAGGAGCTAAGGGCAGCCATTGACTAAAAGGCAACAAGGAAATAGAGACTTAAACCACATAAATGAATTTTGCCAACACCTGACCGAACAAGGAAATGGAAGTCTGAAGTCTTCAAAATGGAACTCCTGCTGACATCTTGATTTTTTTGCCCAGTGAGACTTGTGTTAGACTTCCGCCCTAGAGAACTTTAATAAATTTGTGTTGTTTTAAGACACTAAGCTGTAAACTGTTACAGCAAAAATAGGAAACGAATTCAGTGTTCCAGTATTCAGTTAAAATTTAAAATTCAACCATGATCATTTGATTTTCCTTAATGAAAAAAATTATCTTCATTGTTTCCTCTGATCTACCCCTCCGGATTACCAACTATAAGATAAAAGTTAAAGATTAACTCATAATGTAATAGTTTTCTGAGAATATTTTAGCAAATGTACTGATTCAGAGCCTAAAGAATTAAAAACTGTCCACCAGGTAGTCGAACAATAGAATTAATTAATTTATTTTTAAAAACAGACATTCTTACCCAAGTACTCTGGGCATTTTAAGCAGAACTCTTTCAAAAAGGCATATGCTTTCAAATCATATGTTCTAATCTCAATTTCTGTACCCAATCCTAAAACATCAATTTCTACCACAGGCAGTTCACAGTCTCCAACAAGGTGATAAAATTGAATCAAAACCTAGAAAACAAAGAAAAAAGAAACTACCACTACATAAACAAAAACATGTGCATAGTGGTTATATATGGACATATAAGATAAATATTATATATTTAAAATTTGTGAGAGATTTTATACCCACATATACATATAATACATAGTTACACTATAATACATAGTTACACTAAATAATCATTCTCATAAAATATGTATTGAATACATACAGTAGATCATCTAAAATCCCAATTCTTAAGAAAGTTAAATCTTCAAAAAAGGGGGTGAAGGAGCACAAGGAACTTCACCCCAAAATATTTCTCCTTGGTATAATGAATATTTTGAATAAAAGGCTCTTAGAGATCAACAGACGCTAGAAGAGACTTTTCCCCTATCTGCATAAAGACCAGACAGACCCAACGAGGAGAACAATTGTTTTTCCTTTCCCTTTCCCTCAAGCTTTTACCTCTCCCAAAGCATAGAATAAAGATGTTCTGAGTTCCTTATCTGTCTAAAATCTAGACCTACCAAAGAAGAAAATAATTACCTCTGGTACCTTTCTTGAGTTTTCATTAACTGAACCCATATCACAGGAAGGAAGATTAAAGTCTGTTAACAAACCTGGGACAGACTTTTGTCACAAACCACAGTCCACACTGGAGGCCCAACAGACTTTGTCCCACACGCAGACCATTATATGTTCTCAAGCCCCCTAAATTCTCCCTAGTAATCATTTATTGCCCCTCAACAGAATTCCTTTTCTCAACCCCTCCCCATGACCTGTTTTGCCAGGATCTAAGCCCCTTCTATAACCTCAGGATGGTATATAAGCTTTTGCACCCCGTTGAGTGGTTGAGTCTTCATTCTGAGGGCTTTACTGTCATGTAAAGCTATGATCAAATAAATTGGCATGCCTTTTCTCCAATTAATCTGCCTTTTGTGAGTTGATTTTTCAGCACACCTTCCCCTACAAGGGGAACCACAGAGCAAGTCTGGATTTAGCTTAATCAGGATGAAAACAACAGTGCTTATTAGCAATGACATTATATAAATAAGATATAAATAGTAGGAATGAAAAGCACTTTGAATAAGCCATATTAATCTTACCACGTTACTTACCTCTGGTACTTCAAATCGTATTTTGAATGTAGTCAAATTTACTGAACAATCCTGCTTTTGTAACTTTCTGTGTCGACTACTTTTAACTTTAGTTGGAAATTGAAGAGGCTCATCCAAGGGACTACATGGTGCATCAAAAAATTCCTCCTCTGACTCTAAATTTCATAGAACAATGTTTAAGTCAATAATAAAAATGATCAACTTAATAACATTTTAATTTTTCTGAAATAAATAAGAACATCAAACACTAAGGGTCTATTTTAAAAACCAAATATGAATATGAGAATCAAAGAGAAAAGAAATTACTGTATTTTTAAACAAATAACATTTTTGATAACAAAAATATGGAAAATTACAAAATGTAATCTTTAGTTTAAAGATCATCTTTTGCAATCATTAGTCTATTTTAAAATTGACTAAGAAAATTTTACAGGAAATGACAATACCAATGATGACACACATCATGAATACTAAAAGTAACATGTTAATATGCTGCTCACTCTTCCTGGATAGTATAATCGGACTTAGTTATAAACCCTGAAATATTAGCAGCAGAGGGCAGGCCCTTAAGTCTAAAAGAAGTAAACTGAGATCAAGTACTACTTTACATATGAATATATACACAAATATAGGTATATATGCATATATATACACATAGTAACAAATATAACATATGCATACATTGATATTAAAAAGGATCCAAACTGGAGAAACACTTAACCACTTAGTAAAACCATTAAAAAGAGGCTTAAAGGAAACTAAAACAATCAGAAGTATATCCCTAATAATTAAGATTGAAGCTATAGTAGATGAGCTCAGAAACATCTCCTCTCTGGTGACTACACACAAAGAAAAACGTTCTCTACAAAACCAAGAATCAACGTGGCAGTTTATGTTATTTAACATTTAGCAATTTTTAAAGTCTTAGAAATACAGAAACACATTTACTTTTTCTTTCTAATGTGATCATAGAAAAGCAGATATTTGATATCAGAATATTTGTAAGTCTTTATATGTAAATGTAGATATTAAGACGAGTTCTTCCTTTAATAACAAAGACATTAAAAAAAGTTTTTAAAAAATTTACTACAGTAAAATTTTCTAAACTAAGTAACACATTATAAATTAGCCATCTATGAAGTTTTGTTGAGTTTCTTGGCTCACAGCTGAATAAAGATGATTAACTTGTGAGTTCAACTTTTATATACCAAAAAAATCCCATTGCAAAAGCAAATTTAAGGAACATCCAAATTGTATTATTTTAAAGAAATTTTAGCAAAAATTTCCTGAAAATATACAACTATCTGCTATTGCCTGAAATTTTTTATATAACAGAGAGCAAAATATTCTACTCCAAAATATGTGTTTTTCACATAAGGATTATATTGAGTTGATTATTTTGAGAAACAGCAGACACAGGAAAAGCTCTAAAGACAGAGTATAAGTTTTCCTTCTGTAAGGGAAATTAACACTCATAAAGGAAATCTATCTGTGTAAAGGTGTCTCCTTCTCAGTACCAAGAAGAATTACTCTTAATCATAAGACTTTATCAAAGAAGATACTGACTTAAATGTGCATAACAATCTTTACCCTTGTATACCATAATTTTCCTGGTCACCTTCCCATAACTTGCATCCCCCTGCCCCTAGCCCAGAAGTCCAATATCTCTTTTTCTTTTTTTAAGCTCAAGTTAGTCTATAAAACCAACTTTTAATCAGCCCTTTAAGTTACTCATCCCTGAGTTTCTCCCATGTACACAAGAATTTTAATACATTTCAACTTGTTTTCTCTTGTTAATCTGTCTTTTGTTAACTAAGCCTCAGCCAAGAACCTACAGGTTAAAAGGAAAAGGTATTTTCCTTCCCCTATATGGTCATTTGAGAAAAATACACCTCAAAATGGAAATTATTATAATAGTATATGTATAATAAAGAAAATATTCTTAAGCAGTTTCATTTTACCATCTTCAGAAACAGAAGGAAGTTCCAAGAGAGGAATTATTTTCTGTGAAATCTGTGATGTTCCCAAAGAAGTAGATGTTTGAATCTGAAAGAAAAGTAATTCACTGTTAATTAGCACACTAAGACATTTATTCAAAGTTCTACAACAATTTTGACAAAAAGCTACTCAATATGAATGGCACTGAAAAGACATCAGATCTGAATTAGAAAAAATACATCATAAAATGTAGATTTAAAGTAGTTTTACAATTGTAAGGCTAAATATAAATTGTAGAACTGTTATAATTATTTCCTTGATGATAGGCTTCGAAGAGATCTTATATTTTAACTTGACATCTTACTAAATAAAGAAACCACCTCTAAGACATCCATGAGGAACAACCACAAGTCCCAATATTTAAAGCAGGTAAAGTTGAGGAGCTTTCAGATTTATTATTAATTTTTAAAAGATATTTCAGTAAATTTATTTTCTTACACTTTGGGGAAATATAGCATATTGACATCCATGCATGTTCCTGGTCTGGCCTGGATGCCACCTGGTCCCTGATGGCTCCCAGCACCCTTTCTGCTGTATCCCCAGGGCACAGCACTTATCTCTCTCTATACCAAGCTCTTGCTTGGTTCTCCCTTGTGGGTTAGTGACTTGTATTTCTCTCTGCCCCTCACTGCATCGTATGCTCATGAGAATTAGACATTATTGCCCTTAAACATACAGAGACCATATATTATTTCTTTTATACATGCTTCTTAGTATTCATTTTGTTTATGTGTATGTGTGATATCTGGCACATGGACCTGGGGTTACCAGCCTGAGGTCAAGGAACCCCTCAATTAGAAGGTATAGGTTAAACAAACTTTTTTTTTTTTTTTTGAGACAAGGTCTCACTCTATGGCCTGGCTAGAGTGCAGTGGCATCACATCATAGCTCACTGTAGCCTCAAACTCTTGGGCTGGGCTGAAGTGATCATCCTGCGTCAGCCTCCCAAGTAGCTGGGACTATAAGCACCTGCCACCATGCTTGGCCAAACACCTTTTAAAAGCCCATGTTATATGACCTCAAGGTTGTTTATCTGGTCATTTCACAGTAATTATAAACTCTGATTGGCAGCTTTAGATTTCTTGATTAAAAATCTAAATAAACTGATTGAGTTATAGGCATTCTTTCAAAGGAGTTCTCGGTGAAAAGATTGCGAACTATTCCGTCTGGTGCTTAGTAAAAATATTTTGAATTAACATATTTACCAGTTACTGCCATTTCTTTATGAAATTCAAAAGTTTTTTGTCAAATAAATAGCAATTTTTCAGTCTTGAAAAAAAAACAAAACAAAACCGCATAATAGTTTTAAAAAATAATAATAAAAGATACCCCTGAATCTTCCAACCAGGCCAAGAAACAAAACATACCATAACCTCACCTAGAAGCATTTTATGTGTTCCTCCTTGATCATTTTCCCTACAACTGATGATGATTTTGCTTTTATTTAGTTTGTATTTAAGCTTCTATGATGATTTTCTAAATATACTATTACCTCTGCCTCTTTCTAAACTGTCAAAAAGGGAAATATTACATGTTTTCTTGTGACTTCCCACTTTAACAAAACAATCTTTAAATTTTAACCATACTGATCGTTTCCTGAATTTCACTGTTCCAATGTATTGCACTGATGAATAAATCACTACTTATTTGTCCATTGCACTGTTGGTGAATATATGTACTGTCTACATATTTTTGCTTTACTTACAGCACCACTATATAAGCATCCTTGAACATGATTCCAGGTGCTCGTGTGCAAGACTTCTAAAGAGTAAAATCATATTATGTTCACCTTATGAAGTATTATCAAACTGTTTCCATAAGTGGTTACAAGACATTACATTGACACCAGCAATAGATTAGAGGTAGTATATCTCCATATCCTCACAACTCTTAGGGTTTTTACAGATTTTATATTTTGCCAATCTCACTGGTCATTTCACCAGTTTTAATTAGAATTTCACAAATGCATGATAGTTATACATCATATCATAGTTTCCTTTGCTATCTTTTCTTGAAATTCCCTTCATTTTGGGAAGCATCAGCAATATTTGTTTAAGTACATTATAGTCTACTACATAGAAGCACACAAACCATAACTGTAAAGTTCAATAAATTTTCAAAAAGCAAACACACCCACATACCAAGATCCAGTATAAAACATTACAAGCAACTTACAAACCTCCCTCATGCTCCTTGCAATCATTAGGCATTCCCCAAAAAAGTAACCAATATGCTACTTTAATTTTTAATGTTTTGAGATTTTTACAACTACTTCCATGAGAGAAACTGGTCTATTATTTTCCTCTTTTACAGTGTATTTGTTAGGTTTTAGAATACAGGTTTTGTTAAGCTCATAAAATGAGTTGGCAATTAGTCCCACCATCTAATTCCCTAAAATCCTCTGGAGTTTTGAGGTAGTCTCCCCCTCAGTCACTGCCCATCTTTGCTGCACATATTAATATTTTTTTTGAGTAGTGTTCCACTGTATAAATATACAACTATTTTTTATCAATTCACCTCCGGATGAACAACTGGGTTTTTTGCAGCTTTGTACTATTATGATTAACCCTACTGTGAGCATTCTAATTCAAGTATTTTCGTGGACATATGATTTCATTTCTCTTAGGTGAAAACCTAGGAGTGGAATTTCCAAGTCACATGGAAATTATATATTTAACTTTATTTTTAAAAACTGCCAGACTATTTTCCAAAGGGGTTACACTATTTTAAAGTTCTACCAGTTATGTATGAGAGCTTTATATGCTCATCATGTCAATACCTTGACTCAGTATTGTCAGTCTTCTTATTTTTGGCCATTCTAACCATTGTGTAATGGTGTATCAATGTAGACTTGATTTGCATTTTCCTGATGAGTAATAGTCAAACATCTTCTCATATTGTCTGTTTACCCATTTATTATTGAGTTGTTGGTTTCCTTATATATTTTGGATACACGTCTTTTGTAAAATATATGTGTTGCAGATAATTCTCCCAAGTGGATGGTTGGATGATTTGCCTTTTCATTTTTTAGAGTGTTTTTCAAAAGGCATAAAAGATTAATTTTCATCAAGTCCAATTTATCCTTTTTTTCCCTTGTTATATTTGTATTTTTTATATCCTAAGATATCTTTACCTACTGCAAGGACTCAAAGGTTTTCTCCTCTGCTTTTAGTTCCATACTTTCAGTCTTTACATTTACTTCTATGTTTCAAGTTAAATTCCATGTATGGTACAAGATAAAGGTTGAAATTAATTTATTTTAAACAAGGAAATCTAGTTGTTTCAGCACCATTTGTTAAAAAGGCTATCCTTCTCCCACTTAGATTGGCACCTATGTAATAAGCCAAATATATATTAGCCATATATTGTGGAATTATTTCTGAACACTATTCTGCTTTATTGATCCATATAGCTATACTTAAGCCAATACTATACCTTCTTAAATAAAGTGGCTATATTGTAAGCCTTGAAATTAAAGGGGTTCAGGACATGCTACCCCCAAATATGGTACCTTGGCATCTGAGAAAATGGTAGAAGCAAGAAGGTCTTGTTGACCTTTCTGTGCCCTTCTCCCCTGAAGCACACCTTTAAAGAATTCTCTGACTTTCCTCCAAAGTAGATCATACGACCCTGATCCACTCCTTATACCCAGAGGAAAGAAATGTCACACAGAGATGCCAAAAAGAATCTGAATCCTTCCAGTTTACTACCAATAGATGATATCCTCTTGAAATCCAATCATACTTCTGCATCACTGTTCATAAAAATATAGTTTTCCCTATTTCTTTGGGTCTTCATTTATGAAGACTTGTGTCACATAAACCTTATATTAAATAAATTTTAGGCTTTTCTCTTATTAATCTGTCTTTTGTTATAGGGACTTTAGCCATGAATGTTGTTATCTTTCTACCCTACAAAATCAACTACTGGAATTTTTGCATCTATGTTAATGAACATATTGGTCTGTAGTTTTCTTGTAATTCTTATTATTTCTTTTCTTACAATTTGTTACAATTCTCATATACTGGTTATAGTATCAGAATAATGAATGCAAACAAACAAGAAAGTATGGCCTGTTCATAAAAGAAATTAGCACAAACAGCTTATGCAGAAGCACAAGCACTGTACTTACTGCAAAATAAATAAATAGTTTTAAATAAGTACAGAAAGCTAAAAGAAAACATGGAGACCTCAAGGAAACCAGGAAAATGACGTCTCAACACACAGAAAATATAAATAATAAGACAGAAATTGTAAAAACAAACCAAACAAAAATTCTAGACCTGAAAAGTATAATACCTGAAAGAAAAATTCACTGGAAAATTTCAGTATCAGATTTGAGCAGGCAGAAGAAAGAATTTGTGAAAATGAAGATAGGTCAATTAAGGTTATCAGAGTGAGGAAAAGAAAGTAAATGAAGAAAAGTGAAAACAACCTAAGAAACCTATGGGACACCATCAGTTGGACCAATATACACATTATGAGATTTCAAAAAGAATATGTGAAAGAGAAAGAGGCAAAAAGAAAATCTGAAGAAGTAATTATCAAAAATTCTCCCAAATTTGATGAAAGACATGAATCTACAAATCCAAGAAGTTTAACGAACTCAAAGTAGGATACACTCAAAAACATCCACATAAAAGCATCTTATAATCAAACTGTTGAAAGACAAAGAGAGAAACTTGAAAGCAGCAAAAGAGAAGCAATTCATTACATACAAGGGATCATTAATAACATTAACAGCAAATTTCTCATTAGAAACCATGGAAAAACAGAAGGCAGTGGAATGACATGTTTAAAGTACTGAAAGAAAAAAACTATTGAATAAGAATTCTGGCAAACTGCCCTGTAAAAATGAAGGACAAGGAAACCATCAGTAGAGTGAATAGACAACCTACAGAATGGGAGAAAATATTTGCTCTCTACACATCCAATAAAGGGCTGATAACAAGAATCTATCTAGAACTCAAAAAGATCAACAAGAAAAAATCAAACAATCCCATCAACGAATGGGCAAAGGACATGAACAGAAACTTTTCAAAAGAAGA